TTGAACTTGAATGTTGTGGTCTGTCGGTTTAATACTAATATGTTCCTGTTTGCTAGGAGATTGAGCTGACTCACAGGTCTGTTGATGATGATCGAAAGTTGTACCTGCAAGCAGCTATTGTAAGAATAATGAAATCAAGGAAGTCATTAAAACACAACATTCTTATACAAGAAGTAAGTATTTGTTAGTGTTAAAAGTGGAGCTTTGTGTTAGTGGCCAATCTTTCAATCCCAAGGTCCTGGGTTCCTTCCTGTCAACAAGTCAAAATATTTCTCAGTATTTCACTCCCAAAACTTTAAGGGGGTTCTAAATGATCAGCTTTGATGAATGGATCACTCTTGGGCTGTGTTTATACTACACACTAAATACGAACACGGATTCACGTCCTTGAATGTGTTTACGCTAGCCGAGACGATCCTCCAAACGTCGGCGTTTATACAACACACCATTACAAGGGCTATCTAGATGGCTAACACGCCAAAGTATCATATAGCGCAATGTGTTCTGGGATACAGGGTCAGATCGTACTTCCGCTCAATTCGCGCGGTTTGTTTTGAAGGAGTGGATAGTTTACTGTTGTTAATCGATTGTCCTCCTCTGCTGTTTCGTTTCCTGCACCATCCAAAACACTTGATTCATCAGACACTGTAATGATACGTTAAAATTAAACATTTCATATCATTTTGTATTTTTGTATTAATAAGATTTATCGGATAAATAGGTCTAATGATGCCACATATTTTTCCACCTTTTCAATAAAATTACCAACTAAAAGAATCTGTTTAGGGCAAACAAGAAGAATTTCTTGAAGGATGATGATCTACGAAAAGTATGCCTGGGTGGATAAGCCTAGGTATGACACGTAGTTTAGTTAGTAAAGTATACATCCAATATGAGGAGGTTCTAAAATAAATTGAATTAAATAAAAAAATAAATAAAAAAATAAAAAACAAAATAAAAATAAGTAGACAGGCTAGGCAGGCTCTAGGCTAGGCCAAATTCGTGATTTTTAATAATAAAAAGTATAGTAAGCCTATGTACACAACAAGAAATAGGGCCTACCTAGGCTAGCTAGCTATTTAACATTACAAACAAATGCTAGGCCTACCTGATGGTTCATTCTCGTCCTGGAACGTTGAGGCGTCCATTCCATCTAGAATGTGGATAGGTCTGCTTACCGGGCGTTCCCCAAAAATCTTATCCATCTCCTCGAAGTACACCCACTCTGAAGGGGGGTTTCCGGACTTGTTGTTAGCGTCCTTTGCTGCAGTGTATTGTCTCCGTAGATTCTTGCATTTGTTTATAATCTGCTTGCTTGTGAAATCATAGCCACATTCCTTTAATTTTTTGGCTATTTCTGCGTATGTGGACGCATTTCGCCGAGTTCCATCTAGCCCCTGTTGGATGTTGTCCTCCCCCCAAATATTTATTAAGGCACGGGTCGCACCGTCGGTCCAGTTCATAATTGTAGGCCTACACACGTCCGAGCTTGTCAAAATAAAAGCAAAGAATGACAATCTGCGCTTGTTTTCGCCGTGCATTCTGAGAGAGCGGTAATTACAAAGAAATAATCATAATCTATTATGAATTTATGTAATATTTCAAACGCCCCGCGATACCAGTAAGCATTTTTATCAGTTATTGATTTCTCGGA